CCTGATTGGATAGAGATATGTAGTGCCAGGATGTTCTAAACTTTACCCATATCACTCTTTTGTTGGTACCTCTCCATTCATGGACATAACCATTCTTTGGGGGGGGGGTTGGCAACATTACTGAAATGTTTTGCCATTGACTTTTCTGAGATTTTTAAAATTTACGTCCCATTGAAGCCTACAGGTTTAGGATTTCCTAGTAGAAGATTAGTCCCATTCAAGTATTAATTAAATCTCTTCCTGCTTTGCTCTTCCATGTAGACACCTGCCATCTAGCTGAAGAAATGAACCAATGGAGGAAGGCAGGATTCCCTTTGAGTTCACATCTTCTGAAAAATAAACTCCAAAGGAGAAGAGTTTAGAGCTAAATTATCCTTGTTTCCTATTGTAATTGTAATTGTTGTCGTCAGCCCTCTATCTGTTTTGATGTAAGAAGAGCCCACCTATTAAAGAAAAGATGGATTTCTAACTTCATGTTCAATTTGACTTACAGATACATCAAATAATTTGCATAAGATATTTCCATTAATTAAAGATGCTATTTCCAATTACCCCCTTAACCTCTCTCTTCTAAATACTTCTTTTTTCTCTTTAAAAAAGAAAAGCCTGTGCAATTGTTTTATACCCTTGGAAATAATAAACATGAAACCTAACTGCACCTATTTTTACTACAAAATAGGACATAGTCTATGCTGGTTTAATATTATCTTATTAAAATCTTTTCCTTCCCAATCCTTTGTTTAATTTATATATTATATAGTGATTATTTCAATCAGAATTATACATTTATTTTGAATTACATAGATTATGAAAATGCACTTAAAACATGTTCACCTTCTTTCTTTCAGCCTATAATGTTTTATACATTTTTGCCCCTAGTTCCTTGCAAACCACCTATTAATTTTGAAATTAAATTGTTCACTGGGCTCTCGTTCTCCACACGAATTAGTCACCTGAGGTGGGTCTAGCTGGTATTTTATTCAGTGTTTAAGATCATGCTGTTATAATGATTACATATTTAATCACTGTGGCTTTCTTTCTTGATGTGCAGAGATTATTATAACTTTCATCTTATAGAATTAAATTTTGCTTCAACAGGCTCTCTCATTTCCTGGCCATATTTTATGCGGAGAAAAAGAGGAAATGGCTTTCATCACACAAAATGCTTCAAAGACTGGGAAATGTCATACATTTTAAACAGTTGCCACTGAACTTTTACAGTCCAACATTTTGAGAAAATTGAGACTGATGAGACCACTGAACTCATTTTTTGGGGAAAGGGTGGGCTGAGGGGGGGTTCATGAAAGTATGATATTTGAAGGATTAGCAACACAGGCAGGAAAAAAGTGTGAATTCTCCCTAGCAGTTGATGGCTACAGAGGCTTGTTGAACTGAGACAGCTAGGCTGCCATTCAAATTCTTCTGCGTCATTCACTAGAGGAAAAGATATGGCTGTTCACTTATTCTGAATTGTGTAGTTTGGGGTGGTGTGGCTGGGGGAGGATTTATCATGCTGTTAACTATGTTGTGGGAGGGGTTTTGGTCAACTTTTGGGCAAAAATAAGGCAGCAAAATAGTTTGCTTCATTTCAGGGGGTGGGTGGGGATCAAAAAACCATCTCTCAACAGCTCGCCCAGTCCTTCTTCCAGAAGAGAATATGTTTTCTGTTAGACCGGCCAACCACCCTTCTATGATTTCATTGATTAGCATACCTTAGAGAAAGCTTATGCGTAAATCCCACCTGCAGCTTATGACAGCCAGCTTGGATTTAAAGCCTGAGTCTGTGTTTGTCACAGAGAGTAATTGAAAGCTCCAGATTCACAGCTGAGATTTCAGCTTTGCTGCTAAAGCACTGTGATGGATTCGGCAGTATTTATAAAATAAATGTAGAACTTACAATACTTTCTTCTTTTATTTCTGCTAACTTTCTAACAATCTGTTGTATATTTCAGAGCGTGTATAGTTTTATCTCTTTACATGCATAGATAAAGCTTCTAGATGTGGTTAACTTTAGCCCAGGGGTGAAATGTTCCCAGTTCGGACTGGATCGCCTGATCCGGTAGCGATGGTGGCGGGTGGTTCGGAGAACTGGTAGCAAAAAACCCTGCCCCCCCCTTATGGCCAGCTGAGCCGCGCAATCATCAGAGGCTTTTTAAAAAAATTTAAAAGCATTTTTTCTACAACCTCTTCGGCCGAAAAAATGCTTTTAAAAGTAAAAAAAAAAAAAAAGCCTCTGATGATCGCACGGCTCAGTTGGGATCGTCAGAGGCTTTTAAAAGCATTTTTTCTACAACCTCTTCGGCCAAAGAGGTTGTAGAAAAAAATGTTTTTAAAAGCCTCTGATGATCCCAGCTGACTTGCCTGATGGTCAGAGGCTTTTAAAGCATTTTTTTTGCAACATCTTTGTCTGAAGAGGTTGTAGAAAAAATGCTTTTAAAAGAAAAAAAAAGTTGGCCACACCCACCCAGTAACATTACCCCCCCAAGCCACGCCCACAGAACCGGTAGTAACAAATTTTACATTTCACCACTGCTTTAGACCATTATGGATAATATAGGTAACCTTACATATAAGATTATGAGGAGTGGGATGATGGGTGCATCTGGGATTTTAGGCAGTCTCTTTTCCCCTCCAAAAATGGATTGAAGTTGGACTAGTTCCATTATCTCACTTCTCTAAGTTCAGTGGACCAATTAAAATGGGTGGCCTAGAAAGATTGTTGAATCTAATTGGATTTCAAATACTCGGAAAGGTGTGGGAATAGTTCCCCCTAGGGGTGAAATCCAAATTTTTTTACTACTGGTTCTGTGGGTGTTGCTTGGTTGGCATGGTGTTGCTTGGTGGGCATGGCAGGGGAAGGATACTGCAAAATCCCCATTCCCACCCCACTCTGGGGCCAGCCAGAGGTGGTATTTGCTGATTCTCCGAACTACTCAAAATTTCCGCTACCGGTTCTCCAGAACCTGTCAGAACCTGCTGGATTTCACCCCTGGTTCTCCCAGTTATTCTATGTTAGGGATATATAGCTTGTTAGAGCCAATGTCACCCTGTCTTAAAGGCTGGCCTATAGTGTACAAGTGAATTGCTGGAGCTGAAGTGACAAAACACAGGTTGAAGAATACCCAATTCAAATCTGATAATGCACAGTATAAAGATTATTTAAAGAAAAAACATTTACTCTGTAAACTCGTGTCCTGATTATTTGTTTTGGTTGCAAGGAGGGCTGATGTGTATTCCTACTTTTTTTACAGAAGATTATTACAGAATTTTATAATAATCAATATGCCTCTGTTGCAAAGTTTCATTGGTTGTTTTTTTTTTTTTTTGCTGATATTTGAGATGGGCTGAATTCAACTTTTAATGTTGCAGGAACTATGGAGCTGCCAGGTAACTTTTCAGATAGATTTTGATTTGTGATAACTAAGGATGTGGACAATTATTTGAAGTGATATATTTCACCACTTGTCCCATCCATTCTTTCTGAATTTGCCTTGTAACTTCTAACTGGAAAAGTATTAGAGATACTCAGTAAAATCATAAATACCTCTTTGAGAGAAAAATCTTCAGTAAAATCATGAATACCCCTTTGAGAGAAAGCAAGATGCTTCTGCAATTAGAGTCTCTAATCTGGAAAATTCAAGTAGAGTACCAAGAAACTATATTATGCTTTGCTTAAAACTTTGTGGTAGCTATCAGTTCATTTGCAGATAAAATAAAATTGATGGTCTTTACTTTTTATAGACCTACATGAATTAGATCCATTCTTCCCAACTTTGGCAACTTTAAGATGTGTGGACTTCAAATCCCATAATTCCCTAGCCAGCATTTCTAAGTTGAAACCCACAATCATAAACATAGCAAGATTGGGAAACACTGGGTTAAGATAGAGGCTCTTTGACCTCTTTCTAGATGAACTTCCACACTATTAAGATCATTTGAGAAGGTTTCACTTGCAACTAGTTCACCTATATTTTGTAGGTGAAATGTTGCTCTTACCAGTTTGTTTATTTGCTGAAAAAATTGATCACTGCTGATATACTAAGCCAAATAAGCCCATAAGAATAATTTTGACAATCAGCTAAGAGATTGTATACCAACTTAACTCTGTGTCAGAATAAGAAAACAAAGAATGAAATGTCTGTGCTTCTTCCTACATGGAAGGAAAATTGGATGTTGATAGGAAATCTTAAAATGACTTAATGTGTATAACAACTGTCCAAAAAGAAAAGAACAGAAAAAGTTCTATAACAGATAAAAGTAAAATCTCTTTGCAGAAAAAGGCCAGTCAGGCTCTCATGAAACAAGCATGAAGAATAGCCTCAAGGATATAGAGATCTTACTTTGCCTGTATGTAGATTTCTATTTACTGTAGAAAGAAGCAACTTGTAGGTAAATAGTCATAAAGGAAGCTGAAATAGCATCAGCAGGTGTCAAATAATGGCGGATAATTCATTGTGAGGGCTAGTTTGATGTACTGGTTAAGGCATTAGCTAGAAGCCAGGAGATCATGAGTTCCAGTCAAAGTTACTGGGTGACTTTGAACCAGCCCTTCTCTCTCAGCTCTAGGAAGTACCTCTGAAAATCTTGCCAAGAAAACCACAAGGACGTATCCAAGCAATCAACCCTGACTTGAAGGAGGGGGAGGGGAACCCACAGAAAATGAAAAATGGTTAAATTTTGCGGCAGACCAAAATCAAGATCCCCTGCTTTGAGGCTCTGAATCTGGAGTTCTGTGCTTGTGTTATATATTGAAGTTTTTTTCTCTTTGTTGTTTCTTCTTAACATTGCCTTTTGATAACTGAGATGGGGAAAAATTCAAAATCATAGTAAATGTTTTTGGTCCTCTCTTCACAATTCCCTGCTTTCTCCTCCTCCTCCTCCTCCTCCAATAAATGCATTGCTGGAAATCTTTTATCTGGACATGGTATTGTTCGCAATCCATAATGAAAACATTTCAGTATTCAATGTATTCATTGCAATGTGAAGGAGAAACACAAAAAAACGAACTAATAGTTTTATTCAAAGGATAGGTCGGGCATGGGGCAGGAAGAGAAGCACTGAAGGTTCAACAGAAACATTTAGAGCAGTACCAACCATTGTGGTTAACTGTTACATAAGCTCTGTTGAAATAGCATAACTGATGGGCTTTGGCTTTGCGTTCTTTGCTTTCAGTAGAACTTTTTATTTCACTTTGAGTGGAGCCAAAATGTCCCCTTATTTCTTCTGGTGAAAAAAGAAATCTGTCAAGGACTTGCCACAGATTTGTTGAGGGGTGGGGGAGATAGAAGGAGAAGAGTATTATATAATTGAATTAGTGTTCAAATGAAGCTATTCATTACCTTTAGCTCTAAACAGTGGTAAGACCCTATTCCAGGACTGAGCATAGAAAGAAAACTTTTAGAATTTCCACTTCATTTCTTGCTTCATTAATTCCATTAACTTACAAATTGATGAATTCATAGAATTAAAAAGTCATTTGCTTTTTATATTTTGTGAAATCACTTTTACCAAGTCTCCAAACCTTTTAATCTGTACTCTTAAATTCCAGCTATAATTGTTTTCATCAGAGACATAATTGAACTTGTATGAATAGCATATCAATAGGGTTTGGTTTTCAGGAGCCAGATACCAAAGTTCTTATTTGTCAACAGCGAAGGCAATCATTTCTCAAATGTTTTGTACATCATTTCGGTAAAAAGATCACTGATTTTGATATAATTTGAATAACCTGTGGTAGGAGAAACATAAGCAAGAAGAATATATGATGTTAGTATCTAATGTTCCTGATGTTCTTTTCCCATGCCCCTACAAATAGAGTTGGTTTATTTTGTTCTTGAGCATACCTCAGAAGGTGGTAGAATTCAAGGTCAAGTTTCCTTCAGCAGGCCAAATAATAACAGAATCGTTCATCCTGAGAAAGCCACAATTCCTGAATACCTCTGATGGGTCTCCATCTTAAGAGGACAGTTGAGTGCTGAAATGAATAGAAAAAGAATCAGCAATCCTTGACAAGGTCAAGGTTTCTGTCCCTTCACAATGCACATAGGAGACTAAATATATAAATATTCTTCAAACGCCAATGTTTTTGTCAGAAAATCTGAGTCTGACATTTAAATTCATTTTCAGGCTGGAATGAAGCACCCATTTGTGTCCTTTCAGAACTGTCCCAACTGGCAACTCCTTGAGATGTGCAACAAAATGACTTGACAGGAAAAGACAAGCTACATTTTGATTACTTTTAACCATTTAAGGTAGAATAGAATAGAATAAAAACTTTATTGTCACTTCAAATGTACACTAATCAGCATACATTAAAATGAAATTTCATTGCTTTCAGCTCTCAAAAGATTATGCGTATACCCACATACACACACATACAGTATATGACACAGAGAAATATCACAATCTAATTTGAATGGATACATATACATGGTAAAAAAAAAATCCTGCGAATTTACAAGATGGATGGCTTAAGGAATAAAGCTGTTACAGAATCTGTATGGACCTTCTATCTGAGGAACTGCTGCCACCAAACCAAACAGTGATGCGGTTTGTTAAAATGCTCTCAATTCTGCTTTTGTAAAAAGTGGCCAGGACAGAAGGAGAAATTGTGTTCTCCTCATCCGATGCAAGAAATGCAAATACTAGTTTGCACACTTCACTAAAGATGTCCCAAAGGTGCTTTTTTTTCCCAAGAGGCAACTGGACATTCTGGTTTTTCTTTGAAGACGTTTCGCTTCTCATCCAAGAAGCTTGAGAAGTGGAATGTCTTCAAAGAAAAACCAAAAAGTCCAGTTGCCCCTTGAAAAAAAAGCACCTTTGGGACAAGCATGACTTGGATGACTGAGAATCTCCATAGACATTTCACTAAATCTGTCTGTCATCTGCACCTCTTTAACTGTCTGGTTTGGTTCTGCAACCCAACAAGACAGACACAGACTTCAGAGGATAATTAGAACTGCAGAAAAAACAATTACTACCAACCTGCCTTCTATTGAGGACCTGTATACTGCATGAGTCAAAAAGAGTGCTGTGAAAATATTTACAGACCCCTCACATCCTGGACATAAACTGTTTCAACTCCTACCCTCAAAATAGAGCACTGCACACCAGAACAACTAGACTAGTTTTTTCCTGAACGCCATCACTCTGCTAAACAAATAATTCCCTCAACACTGTCAAACTATGTACTAAGTCTGCATTATCATTAATCTTGTCATCATTCCTATCACCCTTCTCCTCCCTCTTATGACTGTATGACTGTTGCTGGTATCCTTACGATTTATATTAACTGTTTCCTAATATGATTTGATTGCTTATTTGTACTCTATGACTATCATTAAATGTTGTACCTTATGACTCTTGATGAATGTATCTTTTCTTTTATGTATACTGAGATCATATGCACCAAGACAAATTCCTTGTGTGTCCAATCACACTTGGCCAATAAAGAATTCTATTCTATTCTATTCTAAAGATAATATATTAAGAGACCAAGTCAATTTTTTAGTTATCTGCACCCCCAAGATACTTAATGCTATTGACCACCTCCACAGCTGCAGATTTGATTCAAAGTGTAGTATGATTATGCTGGCTCTTTCTAAAATCAACAATGATTTATTTTGTTTTATTAACAGTCAAAACCAGGTTATTTTTATTTCACCAGTCCACCAAAGCCTTCACCTCCTCCCTATAAGAATCTTCATTGTCATCCCGGAGAAGACCCAGTATGCCACCATGTTTTTGTGCCATTCAGGAACTGTAGAAGATGTACATTTCCATGGCCATGAGCACATGCGCTTAAAAAAAAGTGGGTTCAGATGTGACAGAAAGTATCTCACTAAATAACTGCACATTTTCCTGCATAGTTGGCAATGCTTTCTGTCATGGGATGGAATTGGAATGGTCAGAAGCAGCCACTGTTTATAGAAACTAAGAAATATTGTGTCTATAATTTTTTCACCAAGTGTTACAAGAAGTGCCATCAGGAGAAAGTGGAAATTTTTCTGTATTACTGTACTCCAAGGGTGTTTTTTCCCCTTAGGAGTTCTCTCACTGGCACTTTTTTTTATGATTCTGTCTTGTATATTCCCCAGGCTGCTTTAGCTATAATAGAAGAAAATATCCTGCCTGCCTGCCTGAACAGATACAAAAAAATAAAAAAAAAATTTTAAAAAAATGGTATACATAGTCATGAAAGGATGGAAGTCCTCTGCTTCATTTTCTTCTGTTTGTTTCTCCCATTTTATGAACTTTCTCTGTTTGTGTTCATGTGCTCCTACAGTTTTTTTTTTGTTTTTTTTTTTTGCTGTCATTTCACTTTTTGGTAGTATAAAATCTACCTCCATGGAAATAATCATCCATTGCATTTAACCGGATGTTGAAATTATTATGATAACTATTTTGATTATGATGGATAAAGGCAGAACATAAATATTTTAAAGTTGATAGTTGATTACAGGCAAAATTCCTCAGTCTGTAATTGTAAGGCTGTAAGAACGTACTGGGGAAACAGAACAGAACAGAACAGAACAGAACAGAACAGAATAACAGAGTTGGAAGGGACCTTGGAGGTCTTCTAGTCCAACCTCCTGTTTAGGCAGGAAACCCTACACCACTTCAGACAAATTGTTATCCAATCTCTTCTTAAAATTTTCCAGTGTTGGAGCATTCACAACTTCTGGAGGCAAGTTGTTCCACTGAGTCATTGTTCTAACTGTCAGAAAATTTCTTCTTAGTTCTAAGTTGCTTCTTTCCTTGAGTAGTTTCCACCCAAGAAGAAAGAGGACAAAACAGCCTACTTACTTTTTGCTCCATTCCTTCAATTCTCTGCTTTTTCTTGTTTCCTGTGACTTGGAAGAAGAGAAGCAGTTGATACATGGGTTTGCAGTTAGGCAATGGACTAATTGCTGATTATTTTTATTTCCATACTCTCTAGGTGGAAAACATGCAGTACCATTAGTAACCTATTTCGACTGTTGCAAAGTGCTGTATCTCATTTCTCCAATATTGGAAAAAGGATAAGCAAATAGGAAGAAGCGATCTGATAATTTGCTATGAGAATTCTTTGAAGTAGATGTGATGGAGGCCCGCAGCAAATTTTGACCAGGGCCAGAGGGATGCCAACATTAGATTTTGATTCTGCCATGTGATTTGAGGATAGATAGCAGACAGCTAACTATGCAGATATTTCTGTTCTACATATTTCAAAAAACCCATAAATATGGCAAAATAACAGCCGAAATGATGGGAGTGGAGCTAAAACATGCTGCATTCATCACTAGTATTGTAATCAATTAGCCACTTGGCACAATGGGATATTCTTGAAACAGGAATCTTGTACATGAGAGTAAAACTACATCTGCTATAGCCTCAGTGTGATTTCATTAGCATAGCAATGAATCATATAAAAATTACAAATTCTCAACTTCTCTTAAGAAAGTTTCTTCCAAACCTTCACAAAAATACATATTGCCAATGGCAAACCTCTAGCTTATCTCCAAGGGAAAAATTCCAGGCAACAGCTGGATCACAATTATTATGAATAAGGACAAAGATGGAAAGATTCAGTATTACCCACAATAGGGCAATGGTTGGTAAAGAGGATGGAACTTGCTGAGATGGCTAAATAGACTTATTTGACTAGGAAAAAAGACAATGTCTCCACATTTACTGATGACTGGAAACGCCTGATGGACTTTTTCCATGCAATAAACAAAGTGAACTTATATTGTATGGTTTTGATGATTAGACAGGATAGGTTATAGATAGAAGAGAGTTATGTTGCAACCAAAATGTAAATTCTTCCTCCTCCTCCTTCCCCCCTCCTCCTAGTGTATTCCCGCAGGTGCAGGGTCCGCATTTCAGATCATTAAATGCCACTTTGCACAGTCAGCTGCATCTCCAGGCCTGCGGCTTGCATATCTTTGGTAATGGTGTCTTGCCATCTCTGATTTGGATGCCCACGAGGTTGCCGGCCATTGAATTCCAGTGGAAGGTGCTGCTCTCTGGACATGTCCATACCAGCGGAGTTGGCCTTCTCTCATCTTCTCTATAATTGGAGTAAGAGGTAAATTTATAATTGTACTTACATGTGTTCCAAAGAATTATTATGTTTCAAGTATCAAGACTTCTGAGCCTTGTAATATCATCGAATTCAGAAGGAACTGTATCAAATATTTATAAATTTTTTAGAAAGCCTTGGGAAAACCTAGTGTTCTATATTCCACACTTTCATAGAGTGAAGGCAAATATAGGCAGCTTCTCTATATTTGTATAGCTATGCCAATGTATGTACAGGTAGTCCTCGACTTACAACAGTTTGTTTAGTGATCATTCAAAGTTACAACAGTACTGAAAAATGTGACTTATGACCGTTTTTCACAGTTATGACCTTTGCAGCATCCATATGATCATGTGATCAAAATTCAGATGCTTGGCAGCTAGTTCATATTTATGATGGTTGCGGTGCCCCAAGGTCATGTGATCACCTTTTGCGACCTTCTGACAAAGTCAATGGGGAAGCCAGATTCACTTAACAACCGGGTTACTAACTTATCAGCTGCAACGAGGCATTTAGCAACGGTGGCAAGAAAGATCGTAAAATCGGGCAAAACTCACTTAACAAATGTCTCACTTAACAACAGAGATTTTGGGCTCAATTGTGGTCATAAGTTGAGGACTACCTGTATTTAGAGCAAGGCACATATAAGTAGCCAGAGAAGCACTGTGTACAAGTCTTCAAGTCTCTTAAAACGATTAGCATGTATACTCCATTTTAGTAAGAGCTAAAAGAAATACTTTTCCTATCACGCCTTTTCTCAGTGTAGTAAAGTGTGAAGCTACAAGGCCCATCAGATTTTATAGAAAACAATAAATCTTCTACCTCGTGAGTAAAGAGTATAATCTAGCACTCAATATGTAAACAGTGTTCTGGCACTCAGTTCATTGATTGTCCTTTGCGCAGATCAAAATTATTGCTTACCAGATGCACGTTCGAGGGTTTTACACCAGCGAAGCTATGCAAAAAGCTATGTAAAAATGAAGCCACATCTTTCTTGCTGTTTAAAAAAAGAACCGATAATGTGCTGCAGTTTAAGAATGGGCCTTTCTTCACTCTCTATAAATTATGTGACTTTAACTAATGTGCTGCAATATCCAGGCACACCAGGAAACTAAAGAATGAATTGTTAGCATTAAGTGAAATGGCTTGTTTTCTTGGCGGAGATGCTAATGCTTAGGTTCGTGTTCTGGTGTTATGTCTAGAAATTTTTCTTTAAGGAAAGTTGCCAGAAATCTAAGTGCTCAATTTACTTCCTTTAAAAACCCACTAATATTATTAAAAGCTTTTATGTTTATTCCATAAAAACAATAATGTGACATAATTGTTGCTCTCTCTCTCTCTCTTTTTTTTGCAAATGTATTGTTTTTCAAACTTTGCAAAAAATGTCCTCATAAGACAGGGTAACAAGCAATCAGGGACTTTCAACCTCATTTTCCTTGGCAGCACACTAAACTATAATTTTGTACATGCTATTTCAGAAGAACATACACTCATTATGTTTGTACATATCTCTCTCCTTCTCCTTCTCCTTCTCCTTCTCCTTCTCCTTCTCCTTCTCCTTCTCCTCCCTTCCCCCCACTAATGGAATATTCTGGAAAGATCTGGTGAGCTTATTCAGGATCATGTCAATGTTCTGATGTGATCTGTCAGGTTTCTGGAAGTCAATCTACTACAGTAGAAAAAAAGAAAGTGAACCATGATGTTCTAGACATGATCTGGCTGGGAAACAGAAGTGGATCCTCTCTGGAATCATTTCAAATTTTGAAAGAAATATGTTTGGAAAATGTCCATACCATTCTCTGGATCGGCATAGTCTGGAGGATTAACAGAACCTCTCAGAATTCCCCAGAATGTTCTCTTTCTAAAGATGTAATGCTTTGCACATACTGATGCCCATCCCACTCATTTACAAAAATGAACAGGACTGGCAGTTAAAATTTATCTGCTAATAAATTATTCATCATAGCTGAGACCAGCAAGCTATTTTGTAGGAAGAGTCAGGTCACGCAACTCACCCTGGTCTGACTTCAACTGAAGGAAAGGACCAAGGGGGGGTCTCAGCTGCTTATCCCTGGGAATATCATACCTGAACCAGTTGGAAAGAAGTTTATTGTACTCATAGATCAATGGCTTTCAGAAAGCAATCGGATAAATTTTTAGACATCTCTCTGTTGTGCAGTCTTTTAAAGAAATTGTCCTGTAGTCCTAAAATTTTAAAAATGTGCTTTCAATTCTCAAAGATTTTCTTAAAGTTAAGTAAAAAAAACCCAACAATATTAGCAGACTATCCTTATCAAAGATACCTAAAGAAGTTCTTACCACAAGGGGATATGCATCAGGCACAAATTTTGAGAGCATGCTATAAGAACTAACAAAACCTGGCTAGGCTAGTAAGAGTTATTTCTTTTAATAGTTATTTCTATTTATTATTTCTAAGTGATGTGCTTGGCTGGTCACAAAGTATCCGTGTATCAAAAGGAAAACGCATAACTCTGTTCTCTTTCCCTTCTCCTAAAATGGTTTCCACAATGCTAACGTCCCTTTGTCTTTTATTCCAGGAACAAGGACACACTGCTCAAGAGATCAGAGGCACTTTCTAAATAAAAATAATGCTTAGTTTAATGTTTTGCCATTATGTTTTTTTTTTTTTTAATAAACTAAAGGATATACTTGAAAAATTAAAACAGGGAGCATCTCAAATGAAGCAGAGACCGCCATGGGCATTACATGAGGTACCTGCAGCAGTGGTGGGTTGTCCCTGGTTCGGACCGGTTCTATAGAACCGGTAGTAGGGAGACTCTGTCCACCCACCTAGACATCATCAAAATGCTTCTGCACATGCGCAGAGGCTTCTGTGTGCACGCGCGGCCCCATTACGAACCGGTAGTAAAGGTAAGTAGAGTCCACCCCTGATCTGCAGGTACACTGATAACCCAGAACAAGACTTTGGGGTCCTGAATCTTGGTCAAAGCAATGGCACTGGACAAGTGGCAAAAGTTTGATAATTTTAAAATATGCAATATAATTGCTATATTGTTATATTTCTTTCTTTCATTATGTAATTTAAAAAAAAAAAAACAAGACTCGGTCATTCTCTTCAGCATTGTTTCTGCACATTGCTTTTCAAGGAAAATGCTAGATGTTTCACCTTAATATTCAGAGCTAAAAGTAGTCCTCTCCAGGTCTTCTGGAGTTTTTGACAGTTCCAAAAACTGGTAATGGAGAAGAGAAAAAGAACAGCTTAGGTCAACAGACGATGATGGAATTCACCCTGATATAATAAACTTATTATGTACAGTGAACAGATTTTGTACTTCAGAAATGGGTAAAAAATGATCCCAAATGGAGATAATCTCTTTTGATTACCAATTAAAGATTCTAAGGATATTTCCGATTTAATATTCAAGGGCACATCATCCTAATAAAGCCTGAAGTATCTCTGACTGTGGTCACTGTTATTTCATTATGAAAGGCTCTCTGGGGTTTTAAATCATAAGATTCTTCAAGATCTTTATTAACACCCAAAGCGTTGGAGATTGAAGCACTCTGTGCGTGTATGTAAATGTTCCTGAGAGCAGAAACCTGACCTCAGCAATGATGAGTGAAGCAGATTATAATTATAACATCAATGAGGTTTATCTACAGGAAACACATTAAATAAGTAGCAAAACCTAGCCCTAGTTAACCGCTTCCTAACAGGAGTTGTCCAAGAACACATGCCCCACATCAATTTCAGATGAAGTTACTGTAAAAGGAATACTGTAGTAGCAGTTTCTTAGACAGCAGGCTAATAGAGTGCTCAGACTAATAGGAGCACTGTGTAAATTTACACTATCAATGTAGAGCCACTATCTAGAGCAAGTTTGATCTAATTGTTAAGGCACCAGACTAAAAAGCCAGAGATTGTGAGTTCTAGTCCTGCCTTAAACATGAAAGCCAGCTAGGTTCCCTTGGACAAGTCACTCTCTCTCAGCCCAACTCACGTCACAGGGCTTTGTTGTGGGGAAAACAGGAGGAGGAAGGTATGTTAACTAAATAAATAAAAACCTATATACCGTTACCTTTGTAGTTAGTAGATCATTAGATTTTTTTAAAAAAAAATTATTTTATAAACAAACATACAATTCTTAATCAATCATACAGTGTATCATCTGAGTACATCTTTTGTATCTTCTTGTTATTCCTCCAGTATTTATCATATCTTAATTTTATCATTTCATTTATTGTGACATTCCCCTCAAATTTCTTACTTTTCTATTAATACATTTATCTATCTTTTTATTTTAGTAAAAAAAAAAATTTCAACAACAATTTTATCCCCAACCATCCTTCAACCCCCCTCCC